CAGTTAACCACACACATAAGCAGGGGCTGGGGATTTAGCTCAGCGGCATAGTGCCTGCCTGGCAAGCCCAAGGTTGTGAGTTCAATTCCTGGTACAAAAAAAAAAAAAAAAAAAAAAACACACACACATATAAGCAAAGAATGGCAACTGTACTAAGTTCCACAGATAAGGCACTGTATAGGCATAAAGTAGTGATAATAATTAATAATGCTTATGAAGAAAAAAGTATGTACTAAACACTATGTTTAGCTCTGTGTAGCTGTAGTAATGACAAATCTGAAGCAGGCACAGTTGTTACCCCCCATTTTATCCATGAGGAAACTGAGGTACAGAGAGGTACCTCCACATTAGGCAGACCACACCCTTCCGTCTGATGGGTATGTGTCTCTCCTATGCTTAGTTGCTGTATGAATGGAATTGCGCAGTGTGTACTCTGTCTTATCTGGCTTATTTCATGTCTGAACCCAGGAGTGGTGGTACACACCTGTCATGCCAGCTCCTCAGAGGGCTGAGACAGGAGGATCACAAATTGAGGCCAGCCTGAGTAACATAGCAACTTGGCAAGACCCTATTTCAAAATAAAATAGAAAGGTCTGTGGTGTAGTTCCAGCAGTAGAGCAATGGTCTAGCAGGCAGAAGGCCCTCAGTTCAATCCTCAGGGTGCCAAAGGAAAACAAGAAACAAAACAAGTCACAACTGTGTGATTCACCCTCAAAGTCACGTGTGGCCACTGACTAGTGGCTTTATAGGGTTCCATTGTGTGAATGTACCGCAATCAGTGCTCTTTCCTACTATTGATGGGCACGTGGGTGGTTTCCAATTTGGGGCTCTTACAAAAATGGCTGCCATGATCAAGTGTGTGTCTCGTGATGAGCACAGTGATGTATGTGCTGGACACAGAGCTAAGAGTAGACCCCTGGCCTTCACATGTGTCTGTGTTGAGCTTCAGCAAATCCTACCAGTTCTCCAAGCCGACCCCGATCGCCACTCCCACCAGCAGTGCAGGGACAGAAGAGGGGGTCCAGTTGCTCCAAATCCTCACCGACACTGGGTGTTATTGGAGGGCTTTTATTTGACTCAAAGAGGGACGTCCCAGTCCACACATGACAAAGAGCTTGATTCTTAAAAAAAGACCTAAGGAAGGCAAAGGGGACCAAGCACACAGTCCTGGTAAGGAACTGAGTTCCCAGCCTCAGTATGGTCTTCCCTTTAATCGACAGAATTGAAGATCACTAAAAAGTACCACTGTTTCCTCCTTATAAACGGGTGTGCTCCTCCCAGGGGGGCTGGGAGACATTCTCACCTCCAATGAGTTGACAGGTGCAGGGGTCACTGGACAGGAAATTGGGGCCTCTGGAAGGGGTCTGATGAGGGCTTTTCCCCAGAGGCTCCACGGCTGTTTACATTCAAAGCTGAGCTTTGTAAGAATCCCAGATGCCTTGGCAGTTGGTGCTGAAAAAAACGTGTCAACAAACATGTCAAACACATTTGCAGTGTCAGCTGCCTGCAGAGGCAGAATCTTCCCCAGAACATATGACGTCGGGGCCCAGGGATTCTGATTTCAGGAAGGCCCTGCCCGGGTCCTGGAGGCCCAGCCACCTCTCACCCCTCACCCAGCTGAGGGCTTGTCCTACTCCTCACCTCTCCCACTTGCGTCTCTGGCAGCAGCCTCTCTCCAGCAGCCCCTCACACCTCCTCCCTCGCCTCCTCCCAGCCCAGCCATCCTGCAAGCCTCCCCACGGTGCATGGAACCCAGGTCCACTGCCTTTAGGAAGCTCCTCCGCTTCCAACGCAAAACCCTCGTTGATCTGGCTCCTGCTTTCTTGTTTTGTTTGGATTTTTACTGGTGGCGGAACCCAGGACATCCCACGTGCTAGGCAAGTGCTCTGTCCCTGAGCTACATGCCAGCCCCAGCCTTGTTTCTTGACACGTGTTCTGTTACCAGTAATCTGCTGAATACTGGTTGTGTGCTGGTCATGGGTCTCCTCCTGGGCCATGGTGGGGACATCGCAGCCTCCATCACAGCCACACATGTTGTTCCGCACAGGACTGCTTTGGGGCTTGGTGAGAAGAGACCCTAACCCTGTGTTAGAGACGTGCTAAAACATGGGCACGCTGAGCTTCAGGCTGGGGCACCGCGGGCTGCAGTCCTCGGCTGGAGACACCTCGGGTGGGGGTTCTGGTACTCAACTTGTCCAGGGTAGTTTCCTGCCAGGTCGTCAAGGCCTGAGAAGGAACCTGTCACAGCACCACTGTGAAACTCCACCCTCATGACTTTGTGTGACTGCACAGATGACACCATATCCCCTGCATCCAATACCTGGGTTCCCGTCCTGATTTCTTCCATCATCAGGGCCATGATGTTACATTGCCCGCCCAGCATGCAAGAAGTATGGGGCATCAGGCAACCCATTCAGGACCCTCCTGTGTCTTAGGAGCTATTCCCCACCCCTATTCCCCATCCCTATTTTCCAATAAATTTTCCTACTCTTAAAAAACAATTAGGGGCACCACATAAGCATTGTTACACTGTAATGTGTGACAGCTGCAGTCTGACTTTCCTGCACCTGGAATGGGCATAGCACAAGGGGCCTGGCCAGGTGAGACAGAAGCCCACCTGTGACTTGCAGGTCTTCTCTGTATCCTTATCGCCTCCTACCTCCTTACAAGCCAGGGGTGTCCCTGTTTTGGCAGACGAAAACCATGAAGTTCAGAAAGGTTTGGTAATTAGCCCAAGGTTGCACAGCCACTTAAACCAAGCCCATTCTCTTCATGCTGCACTTTAAGACTAACGGGCTGAAGGTGAAGCTTCTAGAAACCTGTCCTCAGTTGACTGTGCAACCTGATATCCTAGATCGCTTCTGTTCTTGGTGTCATGCTTTGTTGAACAAGAACACCACCCCCACATTTCCCAGGCCCAGATAGGCAGTCAAGCTACCAGCCTGCCCGTCCTCTGGGATCCTGTGCCTGCAGCCCGTGGCGGCAGTTTACCTCCACCCCGTTCAGGCGGTGCATCCTACTTCTTAGGAGCCCCACAAACAGCTTAGCATAAGGAGGAAATGCTCCTTAAAGGCCCCAACAGGCCAGCCCAGGTCTCTGGGTTGTTCTGAGCATTAACCTTTCCGGGGAAGCCTGCTGGGAGGGTGTGACAGAGCGGCCTCTGGGCCCAGCCTGGGTCTGCTCTTCCCTGTCGCATGTTCCTCAATTTCCCAACTCTACAGTGGAAGAGGGTTCATTTCCCCCATCGCTTCTCCTGGGCCCACTCGGGTGGTCACAAAGGAGAAAAAGCAACAGAGTATGAATCCACCAGTTTCCAGAGGCCAAGCCCAGTTCCAAAGCCAAAGGAGAATTACCTCTGGGGTCTCCGTGTCCTGGAGACTCCCCCAAATAGTGCTGCTGCTCTTTAGACTCCCACTGAGCTTCTTACACTGTGTCAGAGAGAGGAGAGAGACGAGAGGAAGAGAGAGCGAGCAACCCAAGAAATGTAGATATCCCAGCACAACCCTCCCTTTTTATAACCAACCCTCCTGCTTCGGAATACACGTAGATTTAAAGATAGTTCCTATCTGTCTTTCCCAGCTCCCACCATGGTTACATCTCACCACACCAAGGTACATTTGTCAGAATTGTTTACAAATCACACTGGTAGGGTGCGAGGGATAAGCTCAGTGTCACAGCACCTCCCTGGCAAGCACTAGGTCCTGAGTTCAACTCCTGGTACCCACACACAAAAAAATTACATTGGTAAGTGACATAGACTGACTTTTATTCGGATTTCACTGTCTTCCCAGTGTTGTCCTTTGTGTCGTGTTGTAGGATCTGGTCCAACATGCCACACTGCATTGAAGAGATGACCCATTTTTATAACCCAAATCCACTCTTCATGATCTCACCGTTCATCTGGGTGCGGCCCCTCCCCATGGGAAGCAGGGCAACTCCCAGGACTAGCTGCTCGTCCTCCACTGACAGGTGTCTGTCATTAGCATCCAAGCAGCTCCCACCACAAACACAGTGAGGCCTTGGGCTCCTGGTCAACCTCCTACTGTCCTAGGCTCACCTCCTTCCTTCCTCGGGTCCCAAGCGTGACCCCCTGCCCCTGTGCAGCCTTCATCTTTTATTTCTTGTGGAGCTGAACTATTCTGAATTCACTGGCCTGACACGTTTTGCCGCTAAACCTGATACATCTTGTCCTCGAGTACAATAGCTTAGTTTTTTGATCAGTGAGTGTGACAAAGTTGTCCTAAGGATTTGTAAAGCCCCTGCCCAACAACCATCACATAGTGCATTCCCAAGATGGATCAGTGCTCTTCTCCCTCTCTGAGCCCGGAGGATTGCCAGTTCCTGCCTGGTCTGAGGTCGCTCCATAGAAAATCACTTCCTCCTGGGTGCTCCCGGCAGCCCTGTGAGCAAGAAGGCCACAGTCTTCCCAATTTAAAGGTAAAGTAGTTGAGGTTCATGAACTTTAAGTGACTTAACCTTAGCAGCTTTAACTTCTGATCTAGCCCTTTGCACACCCAAAACGAACTCTGGAATGTGAGCCCAAATCCTGTGAATGAATGTGCTGTACTGTCCAGAAATACTGTGCAGCGTTTTCCTAAGGGGACTCAATAAAGAAGGTCAAGGATGGAGTTAGGAGCACAAGCCTTCCTGATTGGTTATTTATAAAAACAAAGAGAAATATCTCCGTAATCTAACCCTTCCCCTGTGATTATGATTTTCCTGAATGTTCATAGCCATGTCCCAGTACACTGCGTTAATGTGCACTAACCCGAGGCTGGGCCAACGCTGAGCCTCCCTCTGGGTGTTATAAACAGTGCCGCCTGAATAGTAAATGCATCACTTCCGCCTACATTTGAAATCATTTCTTTAGAGAAGTCCTAGCATGAGATTGTTGCCAATGTCTTGTTCCAAACTGGGTTCCTTTTCTCTCTTAGAGTTGTGGAACCACTAGCAAGCCCAAGCACTGACTGAATAGCGGAGACGTTTATTCCTGGCCAAGAATAGGAGAAGCGAAGTGGGAGATAAACTTGCAAATCAGCTTCTCAGCCCAGTGGGGCTCATGGGATTATAGACACAGGGTGAAAGAAATGAGAGGAGGAACAGGCCAAGAAAGGGGAGAAATTGTCGTGTCTTCTCCCAGGGTTTGGTTTGCCTCTCTCTGCTCTTTCATGGTTCTTTCTAGTTTTGTCATGGCCCACTGTCCTGGTGCTGGTGGGGACAGGGGTGTCATTTAGCATGCAGGTGGGAATACAGTCGTGCCTCAGTTCACAGATTTAACTCTTTCCACAATTCTGGTTGCAAACCGAATTGGATGAGAACTGAATCAAATTTTCCCATAAAGGGCCAGGAATATAGCTCAGTGGCACAGTGCCTTCCTGGCAAGGGTGAGGTTGTGAGTTCCATTCCTGATACCAAAAAAAAAACCATTTTTCCCATAAAGTCAACGTTGAACCTAACCATTTACTGTGAACTGTATAATGAAAGTAGAGGTCATACAGCAGTCAATCTGGTGACCATGTCAATCCAGTCTACCTGGAGAGGGACCCTGTCTGGTCTGCAGACAGCCTGTCCTCAAAGATAAGCGGGATTAAGGTGGAGTAGAAATTCAGTGAGGTCAAGCAGGCAGTGCAAGCTTGGTGCAGAGTGACAAGACAGCCAGGGCAGAGTGTAAACTAAAGCGCTTATTACAGACCAACAGCTCACCTGGTGGGACCTCCTCCCGTGGTTGGTGGCCTTCCAGGATTGGTCGTGGCGGGCCTGGGTTTCTCTTTCTACATTTTAAGAAAAGTGCCAGCTGACACGGCAGCAAGCTTCTACGGTGACGCATGGGACAGCAGCCCTGTCAGGTGCCTCATCTTGTCGGCTGGGCAGCTGGCAGCCAAACTTGGCTCTTTGAGAGAGCAGGTCAGGAACTGCAGCAGCTGCTGTGCGGGACTGTCCCCCAGCCAGAATTTGTTTTGATATATTTTGGGCCAGAATTTTAAAGTTTAGGCACATCTGTATTTCTCCCTTTCTTTTTAAAAAAGTTTTTTGAGACAGCATCTCATTAAGTTGCCCGGGCTGTTCTCGAAATCATGATCCTACTTCCTCAGCCTCCTAAGTGCTGGGGTTACAGGTGCACCACCATCCTGACTCACACTGAACATTTGCTAGCAAGGCTTTTTTTCACACTCAGTCCGCTCTGATTATTTAACCAGCTCCCTGATTATGCCCTATTCTATTTAGAAATTCCAGAGCTACCCAACCTCACAGTGCTTTTTTCCCCTTGCCAAAAGCTAAGGTACAATTGATGTACAGTAAAACCCACCCTTTCCAGTGTACAGTATACACATGTTCTTTTGTACAATCACAGTCAAAACCCAGATGGATCTGCACATGCGTGTCCACAGCAGCATTTTTACAACAGCCTGTAGGTACAAGCAGCCTGCTGCCATAGGTTGGTGAACGGATACACAAATGATGATGAATGGATGCAGAAATGTGGTCCACCCACACAACAACTATTAGCCATCAAAAGGAAGGAAGTTCTGACACATGCTACTATGTAGATGAACCTTGAGGATCTTGTGCTACATGAAATAAGCCAGTCAAAAAGGACAAAGAGTGGAGGATTCCATTTGTGTGCCTTCTATTCATAAAACCAGACAATACTGGTTGCCAGGGGCTGGGAGAAGGGGGATGGGGAGCCAGAGTCTAATGGGAACAATTTCAGTTGGGGAGGATGGAAGAGTCCTGGGGATGGATGGTGGCGGTGGCGGCACAACATTGCGGATGCCCTTAATGTACACTTGGAAATGGTTCAAAGGGTGCATTTTACGTTAGGTGGTTTTTACCACAATTTTAAAAATCCAAACAGAACAGCTCCTTGCTCTATGCATTCCCCTTGCTTTAGCCCAGGCAACCATGAACTGTTTTCTTCCCGCACAGTTTTGCCTGTTCCACAGAATGCCATATAAAAGGAACCAAACACACTATTCCTATTGGCTTCTGGCTTCTTTCTCTCAGCATTGTGACTATGAAATTCTTCCATGTAATCCTGTATATTGGTGGATTGTTCTTTTACATTACTGAGTAGTATTCCACTGTGCATGACCCACAGGTTGTTTATCCTTCCCCCAGTAGAGGGCCACTGAGCTGTTTCCAGTTTTTGGCAAATGAGAATAAAAGCTACCATAAATGTTTATGCACCCACCCCTGTGTGGACATGTGCTTTTGTTTCACTTGTGAGAATGCCTTGGAGTGGCTTGCTGGGTAACAGGGTGAGTCCATACTCAGCATTACAGGAGCTGGCACTCTGCCTTCCAGAGCAGCTACACTATCTCACCTTCCCACCAGAGAACCCTCCAGAATGAGAGTTCTAGATTCTCCACATCCTGGATGATATTTGTCAATGTCCATGTTTTGGCCATTCTGATGGGGTTTTCTAAATTATTGATTTGCAATAAGGTGCAAAAGAAATACAAAAAGAGGTCCCTCGTGCCCTTCACAGTTTTCCTCAATGGAAGCATTTTTCATAATTATAGTACAATATCACTACTAAGAAACTGACACTTTCTTTAAATCCAGAACAATCGCAGAGAATTTCTCTAAAAGTTAAACTTAGGGAAGCCCCCAACCCACAGTGCCATTCAGAGCCTGTCTGAACCCATCATCCTTGAAGAGACACAAGGTGAACAGGACCTGGTGGTACCATGAGAAGTCACTGTTGTCTGCTGGCCTTTTACAGAGCACCTTCATCAACAGGCCTGCCCTGGGCATCCTGCCTCCCGAGAACTTCGTGGACAAGCTGAGGGAGTCCTTGCTGTCGGTGAGTTGGGGGCGCAGTCCCGCCCTGCTGCAGTCCCACTTCTGCCTTCCAGCCACTGTCCTCAGAGGCGGTCAGCCAGGGCAGCAAACGACTGCAATCTGTAACCACGAAGGAGGAGGTATTGCTG